GGTAGACTGGGCTGCCATCACTATCTGAAAAACTCTACCTTTCATTGTAAGCTTTAACACAGAAATGAAGTAAATAGATATAGATACCCACTTCTAAGCTTCAACCCACAATAACAAAAGTGCCAGAAATCCTGCTGCATGGGGATGGTATGTCGACTGATTACAGAGATTATAGACAAAACAGGTGGTTGTTGCTTGCGTGTTGATACTACTTTCTCCTCTGTTTGTCACAAATTCCTTGACAACAAGGGACAACTGTCAGCTTGAGTAATTATAGTATACACACTAGCCAGTGTTCTACCCAGTATTCTCAATCATGCACATGCATTTACTGAATCCAGTGAGAGCTGGAACAATACCCACATAATCCCTTTACTATATACAGTCAATTAGGATATTGTGCACTCAATGTGAAAATGAATTATCCATCTTCAAAAGATGTGAGTCCTAACAATGTAAGCCAAACCTTATTCAGAATAGTCTAAACAAGTCCTGAAAAGCTTGGTAAGAACTGGGATTTACAAATATTAGAGAATACTGCTCTCCAGAAAGAGTTTGACTACAGTGTGAGTTTTTGTTTCTTGCTTGCCCTTTTATGTGAAAATGAATTATCCATTTTCAAAAGATGCGAGTCCTAACAATTGTAAGTCAAACCTCGTTCAAAATAGTCTAAACAAGCCCCTAAAAAGCTTGGTAAGAACTGGGATTTACAAAGAGAGAGAGAGAATACAGTTCTCCAGAAAGCGTTATGACTACACAACTTACGCAGTGTGAGTTTTTGTTTCTCGCTGGCCCTTTTGCGCTGCTGCGGCGCCATGGCCGGTAAGTCCGGTGTGGCCGGCGGACCCTCGGACCCAGCGGACCCTCCTGGCCGGACGTCCAGCGTGATGATGCTCGCGGTGGTGGTACCCGTGCGAGGGGTGGAGGGGGCAGCGCGGGGGTTCCAGGGGTTGGATACACACGCCCCTGGGCCTCCAGTCGGAGATCTACCTGACATTTCTTCACTGTCCTAACAGTAGCATACAGAAGAGAATGGAAAGAAAAACTGTCAGTTCTCAACCATAAATGAAAGCTGGTGCATACATGTTGCATAGATTAGAATGTGTTGTGATGATAGCAAGTGGATAATATAAACTTTAAAGCAGAAGGGGCAGGTGTTCATGGATTCTCTGCTGTTTTGTTGTCAGTGTTCCCACTTAGATATCATCAACAGACAGCTCTCTGTCAATACAAGATAGATAATTATCATATTAATATTATTATACTAGATCTATTCTTTTTCTGTATGAATGTACCAATCCCTAACATAATTTTCAGCCATGGTGAAGAATGATATTTTTACATATAGGGAATCTCTAGAGAAAGAGAGGCTTTACGTTAATCTGAACTGTTGCAGAACTGTTATAGATTCACCTGCACTGATTTAATATCAACAACATGCTCCAAGAAACAAATCATGAATATAAATTTTAGTGGATCATAATAAAGCCATCAACGGAATTCTTATCATCATCTCCAACATCATCTTCAGCACTAGGTATTTCAAACGCATTCAGAACCTGGAACTGATTAGAATTCTCAAGATCGATTCTGATTTGGCCTGCCCAGTCGACTAGCTGTCAACATTTATCAAATAAATTTATATATGATTCTCGGCATGAATTACTTGTCTGCGAAACGTCGTTACTCTCTGTCCACACGCCAGAATAATGCTACAGACGGTACGTGAGCACACAGTCTGGATATTTGTGGAGTTGAGTAGCTCACTGCGCCCTCCCCACGTCTACAGGCGCACAGGTCAAGCTCGGGTGAAAGCAGGGGGGAATACCGTAACACCAGGATCAGGAACAATGGAAAATCCGTCACAGCGAAGCTTCTTTACACCTACCTGGCGTTCTTGGGACGCCTTCCGTCTAACCCACCACTCACTAGGCATTACATGTCACCAAATCGACGAGAAAGTTGATATCGTCCCTGTACACAGCACGAGTTTTCATACGCCCGGACTGACAATGATTCTGCTCTGCCGCCATTTTGAAAATAACCGCTTTGCTCCTGTAGAAGTCCGCCAGGAACTATTTTGTTTCAGTTGAAGATCATTATGTTCACATCAAAGCGTCGTGCGCCTGGGTAGCTTCATTTTCATGTCATTCAACTATCAAATGAAAGACGGCTTGAATATTTAAAATCTGCAGGATTGAACTGTCACTATCAATTACAACACGTGGATTGATACAAGGACGTTGGCACGGTGACTTCATTGACAACGAGCTAAACAGCGGGAAATTTAAAATTGTCATAGTAATTAGATCTAATTAAATGCGATCTGGCACAGACCAAGGATGTTGATTTTTGTAAATTTGTTACGTTGTTGAGGATCTATTACTGCCACGCACTAGGTCCATGCAAAGACTTACGTACTTTATATTTAATACCGTAGCCGGTGCGACTCACGCGAGAGCCTCTATTTTAGTGTAACGTTAATGTAAATTGCCTGATACGTTATGGGATGTTGAATCCCAAGTCAGGCTGTACACAACAAAGCTACCTGCACATTAACCGATTTCCACGGAATTATGAGTAAACAGATAAACAAGTTTAGGTCCAAGTAACTTAACATTACTGTGGGCGCAGTGCCTCCTTCTTACGGGTACGGACGATGCCCTTGGTGCTGATAGTGCTATCAGGAGACAGTGATAAATGTAGACGTGGACTCTTGGTGCCATTCTCTGCTTGGTGATTTGTTTGTATGCGGTGCTCTGGTACTTGTGCTCTGGTGCTTTGCACATGTGTGTTTGGGAAAAAAATGTTGATTAGTCCTTCTCAAACCCTGCCGTAGCCTCTATGTAGTTTGAGAATGCTCCGTAACGTTACGTGATGCTGTTCACATCTGCTTCTAGATCCCCTCTCATTTCAGCTCGTTAACGTGAAGATGTCTTCTGACCTTGCTTCTTTCTCCATTCCGTATGTCATACTATGACTCACAGATGCTGTCGACCTCGTCCAGGAGCTGCTGCCTCTCCTTTTATCTTCCACAGTGATGTAGTGGTTTGTGGTTTCTTTTACCCCGTACTACTAGTAACTACTAACTATATTTTCCCGGCCTGTTGCTCTGCAGTAACTTGCCAGGCAGCACTAAAGCACACACGCTTACGCTGTTTCCTATGATGTTAACGAATAATCGTAACAGGAGCGCAAATGACAACAGACACGATATCCAGTAACCAAGAGCTGAAATATGTTTTAGCGAGTATCTTTCAGTTTCTCGTCCGGCTTTGCTCTTTGTGGATTGTAGACTTTCTTCTTCTACTTTCTTCCCTGTTGGAAATCACGTGATGATGGGCGGATTGCGTCAGAAATTACGTAATAGCAGGCGGACCAGTAACTGTTACTTGCCCCTGCTGCATGCACAACCAGTGATTTTAGAAACGTAGCGACGATGTGGATTTTTCATGTTTTCTTCGTGTTCTGTCTTGGTGGGAGTTTTCCGTGCCGAGCAACGATCATGCTGAGGCGCCTTTCTTCTGTGTATCTGCCTTACAGCCTTGACGAGGATGGGCAAGCCGACTTCGCCATGGGAGACATTGGCGCTGTGGAGAAGTTCAGCTTTGACTTCCAAAATTACCTGGTCTACGCTGCAGGTTAGTAGTTCAGACTTTTGAATTATCGTATTTGTGCCCTAACTGCCTTGTAAGTGCGCGATTCACTTGGAATATCCAGCCTAACTTTATTTGTTGCTTTTGAATGACAACAGATCAAACACGGCTATTGAGGTCCAGGAAGGCCCGATGTTGTAAAATGCAGAGTAAGGTCAGGAAGATAAAGTCGACCAAGAGGAGCAATGTGCTCTAATTCTACATGTACTTTGTATGACATCCTTGAGCAGCAATATCACAGAGAAAAGAAGTTGTATGTTCTTTATTAAGGTAACGTTAGTACGTCTTGCCCGTTCTCTATTTTTATTCGTTTATTTTCACATATGAAAAACATAGCACATAACATAGTTCTGGTACATTACAACATATTTACACCATGTTACAAGGGCCAAGGGCCATTTGTAGGATGGCTCCCGATTGTAAGATAGCTCTATATTGTGACCGCAATGTTTGCACATAGTTGTGTTGGACATCTCTACTAAATTACGCCTAAAGGCCACCGTTTCCTTTGAAGTTGAACTTGCAACCACTGTACCTCTCCCTGTAACAGGGAGATCGCATTACTTGACAACCACCTATTGAGTCGGACTGTTTTTCATTAAGTCTGTTGTTTTGAAATGTCAAACAGAACATTCTCGCTCCAAACTGCCCGAAGTCCTCAAATCTCCCGACTCCAATTAATTGTGTTAATTAATTGCCAGAGTCAGTCGTGCTATTTGCTAAGGTCGGCTGATCAATGCTATCGCGCGGTGTTCGTGACTTCAAACTGACATAACGGAAATGCGTGTTTACCATACTTCCCCCAGTTTATCCTGTTGTTGTTTTCTGCTCAGTGTTATCTTAAACACCATTCAAAGGCGTTTTAGATGACTAGGAGTACATGGGGAATGTTTGGATTCCTGAGCGCATAACATAATGAAAAAAGAAACGGAAAAAGGCCAAAATGCAAAGTCGGGAGAAGAATTTAACAACATTCTTGATATAATATAGATTAACCCGCACCTATTCATCCACGTACGCGTCCTGGTAAAGCCTCAGTACGAGTATTGCTGGTTGACGTCTAATTCCTGTCAATCCAGAAACTCCTGTAGGAAATACTCTACGGTGTCAAATACGATGACAGACTCCCGAAAATAGCTTCATCAGGTTGGTAAACTAAAGTATAGGATACGTGGTGACGTTTGGGACTGCGTTGTCGCCGCAAAAGCGCCATCTACATCGGCTACATATAGCGACGAGAAGCAGAACTCCAGTCAAAAGCTTTGAGGAAGATATCTGACAGACACCGAAACGTCAGCAAGGTAAATAGTTTGGTTGTGTAAAAGAAAACTCTTGTATCCTACAATGACAGACTTTTTATCTCCATTGGCACCAGGTAAGGCTGGGATTCTGAACGTTATCGACATCTCCGCCCCCTCCTCTCCGCGTGTGCTCCATCGGCAGAAGCTGCCAGGTCAGGAGATCGGCATGGACATGTGCGGAGCGCATCTGGCGGTTACTTTGACCGGGGAATCCCTCGTTGATACCGGCAAGGTGCTGGTGTACAGAACATACAGCGATGGACAAACGTCAATGGACCTCGTGCATGATATACCGGGTGTGTATGCCACAGCAAACGTTCTATCTTTCTAGTATCCATTTCTCTCTCTCTCTCTCTCTCTCTCTCTCTCTCTCTCCCTCTCGTCTCTCTCTTCGTCTGTCTGTCTGTCTGTATCTCACTCTCTCAACTTCACTCGCTCTGACCCTAGAGTCTTTTTGGTACATACAAAAACGACAGCAAGAAACTATTAAGAAACGGGTTGGGGTCGCTATACCTTTTTGCGCAGTTGAATACGAGCAATCAATGCCTTTATATTCCCTTCTAGTTGGCAGTCGACCTGATTCAGTCAAATTCACCAAAGACTGCAGAAGGTTGGTGGTTGGCAACGAGGCACCTGCAGGGGAAGATGCGTCGGGAAACTTCGTGGATCCCGAGGGAACAGTGATGCTGATCGACTTCGGGTCGGAAGACATCGGTAGCGTCATCACTCCCGACGTGCGAACGGCGGACTTCCGAAAATTTGATGCCCTGTACGCGGCAGACATTTCTTTTTGGTATCTGTATCTGTATAATCGGTATATGTAACCGCCCTTCGGCGTAACACACCAGCTTCGCAGGCACGCGCCGCGGCGGCAGCTGGTTACATTACACCGAACGACTTGTTACACCTAACCCTTTAACACCTAACTCTTAACATTGTTTAAAACTATCTAATGATAATGCCCCTACTGTACGTACAAGTATATCAGTACTTCGCACCACCATTTGTGGTTAACACTATCTAATTTTAGATGTCTTTATTTTAGAGGAGATTTCTATGAATCCTCTGGTGTCCGGTGGCTCTTGAAGGGGTTGGCAGTATCCTCAAACATCAACTCCAGTAGTTTCTATCGAACCCTGGAGCCAGAGTACATCACATTGAATGAGGATGAGTCCAAAGCCTATATCTGCCTTCAGGTGGGATATGGTGCTTTCTAGTCGAGCATAAGAGCGATAAGCGAACACTTCCTTTCCGAAAATCAAGATCGCCATATAGCATGCAATGTTTTCTATTGTTCATGGTCTCCTCATTGATATCTACAGACCAACAACGCCATTGCCGTTCTTGACATGACTACGGCTACATTTGACGACATCTACCCACTGGGAACAAAGTACTGGGGCGAGTACTAGTCATCGTTAGATGCAAGTGACGGTGATGGAGGTACGTATGTATGTATGAAAGAGTGAAACACAGGGTGATGTTTAATTTCCCAGTAAACCCACAAGAAGCTAGTGTGAGATCGCATATGCTAAATCCTTTAAGATCTAAAACATCAGCGTTCAGTCACACATAGATCTACATCCCTTTTGAAATTTATTTGGAATAAGTTAGGTTCTGACCTCCCCTGTACTGTTGAGTTTGCAGCTCATCAGCCTGATATTATATCATGTACCTGGACCACTTCTCATGAGTGTACTTCTTCCATTGCCTGAAGACCTCACTAAGTTCCTTTTTCAACATGATTTATTCCTTCATATATAACTAGATGTATTTGAATTATGCTTATCTTAACTAATTCATCATCTGTTTTGTGTGCCGTATATTGATGACTTTGACTATGTATATATTGTTGTTTTTTGTATGGGGGGCAACCTGTAAAGGTGCGTATGCACCTGTTCTGCCTTCCCTTTCACTTTGTGGAAAATCCAAATAAACAAAGAAATAAACATGTGTCGTGTGTATTACCTAGGAATTCGCTTTCAAAATTGGCCAATCTATGGACTTCGGCAACCGGACGCGATGTCATATTTCGTGCATGGTAACACGGGGTACATCGTGACAGCCGACGAAGGCAGTCCCACCAAGGTGTCATTCCGCAATTCCCGGGGCGCTCGCGTGCTGTATGACGAGCAACTGAAAGGGAAAGAAGTTGATGAACGTAAGTTAGTAAGTTTGGTGTACATACATACATTTGTAGGACAGCGCCCATCTCCGTGTCCATTGTCCTTGGGCCACACATTTGTGGAGTAGGGGGCTAGTCCACGGGTAGTGTTTTGTGTTCAACTACCATACTCATGCTTAGCCTTAGCAGAGATACTAGTCTATACCATTGTTAAAGTGTTTGGTATGCGAATGCAGCAAACGCAAACCCTCTAGACCTTCGGAATAACCTGCGGGGGACAAACATTCTTAGATTAAACCTTTCCTGTACAGTTTACATCAATTTCGCTGACGGTACGTCAGGTACAGAGAATTTAGTGTTGTACTACTAACAAGGGTCTCATTCTTGGTTTCAGTGGACCTTCTCTCGTCTTCTTTTTCGAATGAAAGACTTAAAGAAGCTATAAACGATAACAGCGAGTTAGGTGCGTATACACCGTTTCAGTTATACAGTTGTAGTCTTAATTATGTTTTGTGTACATATACGTACCTACATACATATGTGCGTGACAGTAAGATGTAAGTTGGTGGTTTAGGGCTTTCGAAACTTTGACTTGAGTTGAATTCCAGGCTGCCTGAGGTTCAGCTCGGTTGACGGGTTGGACCCCGCAGAGCCGTCCAAACTCTCCCGACTCCACACGTTCGGCGGGCGAGGCGTGTCCATCTTCCGAGCGGAGAACCTGACCTTGGTATGGGACAGCGGAGACGACCTGGAGAGGATGGAGGCGAAGTTCTACCCGGAGATCTTCAACTCACGGTATAAGTATCTGGATGAGAGGCCAACAGATCAGTTCGACGACAGATCGTGCAAGAGGGTGGGTATCATTTCGTCTTGTCCCTGGCTTTTGTTCTTTTCTGTAAGAAGTGCACTTGCCATTATCAGGTTCATGCAGTAAAACTTACTTCATAGTACATACCAATATAAAGTTTCAAACCCAACCTCTCCTATCTAACACACATCAGACCCCTTGTATCATGTTCATGGTAGATCTAGAGTTTGGAATTCTGACAACACGACAATGTCCGTCTTTCACATAACTCCGGAATACTGTGTGTTTGTAGGGACCAGAGCCTCAGTCACTGACTGTGGGTCACCTGGGGAAGAAAACAATCCTCTTCATCGCCGCGGAGAAGACAGGGTCCATCTTCATCTACTCTCTTGACGCCGGGGAGGAGATACGTCCCGCTTTCCAGAGCGTGTACTGGGGAGGGCGGGCGGACCTGACCTGGGGGGAGGCGTACCGGACCAGGCAGGTCGGGGACACGGATGTGGAGGACATGAGGTGAGCTCCACCTCCTATGAATCAAACCGTAGTATTCTACGTCCCAATACTTGGTAGCATCACTTGTTTCTCTGTCTATGGGTCAGCTAACTACCTGTTGCCTAACCAATACAAATTTGGTCCCAAACGGCTATACCTTGGCAGACTGAAAGTTAACGGGCTACAAATGTATGTCCACATCAGGGTCCACATAACGTATTGACTGTTGGGCAATGATTCGATACATTACTAATTGATAGTTATGATTTTGTGATAGTCGATCCCCATGATATATAGAATACAACACGGGGTATTCCGTATCGCCCGAGGTATCGGCCCGACCGCGGGTCGGATCGCCCGACGGCCGCAGGCCGGAGGGCGATCCGACTCGCGGGAGGGCCGGGACCGAGGGCGATGCGGAATACACCGTGTTGTATTTTATTTATATCATACCCACCCAAGAAAACGCGCCTTTCAATGCAATATGAGCCAAAAGTTGGTGCCCCTCAACCCTCAAATGCAACAACGTCAGTTCCAACGTCCGGATTCTGTATTCGAATTTCGAAAGGGCACACGCGGTTAGGGCGAAACGCGTTCGAATCGTTTTATGGAAGCCATGGAAGCGTTCGAGTAACGGGTTCCGGACCGGGCCGTACCGTAAAGTACAGCCCGGTCCGGAACCCGTTATCGAACGTTATCGCGGCCCGGGTATGATATAATGACCCATATCTATAGACCAGCGGAAATGACCTACATGTAGCCGCATGGGTGGTCTTGACCTTGTCCACAATTTCGTCTTCCCGGCAGCTTTGTTCCGGGTGATAAGAGACCGTATCAGACCACGTCTCCAGTTAGGCCATGTTGATTTGATTATATGGATGACATCCTCCGGGAGCCCCAAAACTGATGCGCGCGTGCGAATAAAAAAAAGTTTTGCAAAAAAAAAGTTGTTTTCATTATGAAATCTACGTGGTCATATATGAGGGTTGAACAAATGGCACAGAATATGTTATGGCAAATAATCTACTCTTCGAATTCATTTCTTTACATTTTTGTCTTTTTTCCTTTGATTTTGGCATTCTACGACATTGGTATCGTTTCTAAATGTTTTCCTTGCAACTTATGGTATATTTTTGCTCATTTACCAACTGTTTTGCACGATTTACAGTATGGTTGAAAACTTTTTTTTTTGGAAACGGCCGAAAATTCATGCGCGCGCGGATGCCATCCATATAATCAAATCAACATGGCCTAAGAGACCGTATCAGACCGCGTCTCCAGTTAGTTGACCTTGTCCGTATTTTGCAGATTTGTTCCCGGTGATAAGAGTCCTAACGGGAAGCCGCTCCTTCTGGTGGCCGGGACGTCCAGCGGGACCGTGTCTGTCTATGAAGTGATGGAATCTGAAATAACTGCCCAAGTACGTACTAGTAATGTTAGAATGTCACCGGGTACCGTATCTGATTTTATTGGGCTGTGAATTTGTGTTTCCTGTGGTTAAAAAAAGACACGGAAACTTTCCAGTGGAAGGGGAATACGATTTTCCCACCACTAGTATACCGAGTTTTTTTACGAGTAAAATGGTTCAATCTGTTACTTCCAATAGGAACGTAGTCTTGCCAACAAAGTTTTATAAGAACATGCCGTGCACTACTGTCTGAACTTGGGCAGTGCTACATGTATATGCTGCACGTTCAATGTTGATTTTCCTTTGCTTTGACATGCATGAGTTAGCCTAAACATAATCTTTATGTTTTCATCATTTTCATGCTCTGCATATAAGTGATGTATTTGTTTATTACTTTCACAGGCCAGCACCGAAACACCTGCCCTGTATCTGGGGTTCATCACCATTCTGTGTCTCCTGGTCATCAATGGCTAACTACAACTGAACAAAATAGACTGGGGAAGTGTTGATGGCAGGGTTTAGTAACAAAAGGATTTCTTGGGATTCAACCATTCTAGGGAGGGCTAATGCCAAGATTACAGAAGAAATAAATGATTATGCAATAATGTTATTTCTTAACTGCTAAGCATTCCCAATAAAGATTGACGATGCAAAAGTCATGCTTCAGCAATAGTTTTTAATTTGTATACAAATTACTTTCATGATAGGTCACAAAAGGGTTTTAGAACTTAACATGTTTTTCTTGATAACTATTCTATAGTTAGTTCTCCCATGATACAAATTTGTGGTATCTATCATATACATTGTACTGCTGTACCTTCTAGGTGAGAATCCTCCTTGGCTTGCCTGACAAAGACATTAATATTCTTTCATATATTCACTGGACAGACTTTCAGTCATGGACTTGTTACCAACATATTTCCTGTGTAAAAAATGTTCCATTACAAATAAACCTTTTAGATTTACATTTGTATTTCATGGCCTTTCCTAGAAACATTATTGTAGGTAACAGTATTCTTGAAGGTTCCCTACCATTGTCAACTTAGGCCTCCAAATGTGGTGCAAATTCATTTGCTACTGGCACATTTGTATACTCTTCGTATGCACTTTTCACCTGTGGGCATATAGACAGAGAAGAAAGAGACTTCATAACATATGTGACATAGGATTTCTTATTGTTCATGCTAACATACAGCTTAGCACAGAAATGATGTTATTTTCAAAAACATCTTCCCATCTGAAATAGTGTGTTGCCATATTTACACAACCTACAGTAGAAAAGCCTACTCATATTTGGCAGGTCCAACTTGAAGCGAATTCAATCACATTGTGCCTGTGAAATGCATACAGCATACTCGTCAGTTGTAACTCTCAACCCAACAAATGTTAATTGCTACAAGCAAACTGACAGTTAACTCCTCCCCCGTCCCTCCCATGTTACTGCAGTGTGACATTAGCAGCCTGTAGGTAACCCTGCAGGAACTGGGCTGCTTTTGCATCTAGGCCTGAACTGATCATACCAGGAATCTGAAATGACAAAACAACAAAATTCTCTGTAAGTCTGATCCAAAATAAATATACAAACATGTAGATTAGCAAATTCAAAAAAATTATTCTTTTGACAAATGAAGAACTCAACTATTTTGTTTTGTTTCAGATTTGCTTGCCTCTACCTTTAATATGACTTCTCATATGTTTGTCATACAGCTATATATACACAACTTGCAACATACAGTGTGATTGATATTTATCTTCTGAAAGTGGGGGTTTCATCACCAATTCAGGGGTGGGTAGGGGAAAAGCAATGTCATTTTATTTCTTCATTACTTCACATGATGTGTTCGTGTTAAATCTCACCTTTCCAGCACATGTTGTACTAAGTTTCTGCAGACTCTGTGCCAGGAAGGTTTTGGGCTCTGCTACGGCCCCGTTGAGGGGATCGTGGTCGTTCTTCCCCGAGAAAACCAGTTTGGAGTACGCCGTCTGGTAACCGGGCGTGTCCTCAATCTCGATGAAGTGTTCATCGTCAGGGACGCTGTCATCCTCAGGAAGTTCAAACAGACCAATCAGGGCTTGTAGCAGGGGTGTCCTGGGGAAGAGAACATGTGTATCACAGTCATATCATGCATGGAAAGTAAGAGGCTTGTGATGAACACCTAAATGGGGAATCTTGTGCACAAGACCTTAAATCAGAACAGTTCAGATGATCATCCTTCAGTTAGCCCATCACATTACAATAAATTATCCGAGTGTGAGAACTGTACCCCAAAACAAAATGCCGCATCAATACCTATAATTGCTGGCTATCTCAAAGTTTATCAAGCATCACATTCATGTCATTCCAATAACATCTGATAACAATGGTCCTGAAAGGTTCCTCACCAATGTGCATGGTACTCCCCCAGCATGGCAGGACAGTCAGTCAGGAGCTTGGTCATGCCAACAGCGCAGATTTTCCTCTCCGTATGGCCAGAAACCTTCTGTACATCCTGCAGGAATAACTTCTCCAACACCATGCCAAACATCCTGGGGCAGGGGAGGAACGCAGGTTACATTTTCTCTGTGATTGGTTTCACCAGTCAGTACAGCTTATACATATCATGCAGTAAAGATAAGCTACATGTATTAAACCATGGAAATGAAGAAAATTTACCTCTGAGGCTCATCAGAAAAGTCAGGCACAAGAAAGGCACCTACATTACGTACAATGTACCAGTAAACTAATAGACAAATTTTAATGTCTGTATTTTAAATCAAGCTACAGTAATTGTAACCAGATCTTGTGTGAAACACCTCATTGTCTGATCATAACGTTGACTTACTTTGGCTGTATGCCATCCACCATTTGCACCAGAGACGTGGCATTGTACTTGATGGTATACAGGCACATGAACACTAGAAAACCTGAAATAATCAACACAAAGGCATCATGGGTTATTTTACAATATACAAGGTAAAAATCTACATCCTGTACCAGTCACTGCAGACAAACCAACAAATACAGGAAGATAAAAACTTTGTCTTACTCTTGATAAACTTTGTTGTTTTAGAACTCTGTAGTCTCTGGAACAGCAGGAGGAAGATCTGTTTCATGTATGTGGACAAGTTAGCTCTGTAAGAGGAAGAAGAAGGCAAATTTTATAAAGCCATACAGGAAACTAAACATGTTCCTAATAATGATAGTCATAGTGTCTTAGTATATGCTATCATTGTAAATAGCTAAATATCGGAAATTAGAAATTTTATTTTATTCTCCTCCTGGAGTGCACCTTCAAAAAGGAATTTTTTATTTTTTAAAAACATGATGCCATGCCAGAGTTAACAAGTACTGACTGCATCACAGAAAAGAGACTGTGAGTGAACCAAAGACTTAGAGGTACTGACTCTGGCATGTTTTCTATCAGGCTGTCCAGAAGGTAGAAGCCCTCGTGGTCGTTAGCCTTGGAGGCTATCAGCTTCTGGAACACTCCAAGTATGCTGGGCTGGAAGGGAATAGATGCCATATGGAACATCATTATACAGTGGTCATGCAATAGCTAAATCTAAAACTGAACAAGTGACCCATGCTAGGCTTTAGATCTTGAGCAGATGTCACACCAATCCTCAGAAAGAGAGCTGCTACTCCTGTATACTGTATGCTCATGTATGCACTAAGTACAGTACGAGCATTATCATTAGATAGCTTTAAACCATGTTTACAGTTTGACGTTCATGGGCTAGGTGTAACAAGTCATTTGGTGTAAATATAGCCAGCTGCCGCCGCGCCGTGTGCCTGTGAAGCTGGTGTGTTACGCCAAAGGGCAGTTATACCGGCTATACTCATACAGATACTTCATGTGTAGACGTACAATTTTCTCTGCAGCTGCGATGGCCTGTGCACCCTTCTGTAGGTAGGCCTGCAGCAGCCTGACCAGTGGGGGAATGTTCCCGCTGCGCTCCCACAGTACCGGCATCAGCAGGTGGGGGAACAGGCCCATGTACGACTCGGGGATTCCGTCTGTCCGGATCTCCAGCAGCAGCGACATGATTTGAAACACGTACGGAATAAACTCTGAAAAGATATAACACGCAAGGGTCATATTTTAATAAAGTTGTCTGAGGTCTGAGGCTCTTTGCAGTTTTCTTGTCACAGGCCAGATGAGGGTATCCCATAAATCTACACCAGGCTGGTTTATGATAAAATAATTTTTGTCAAACCAATACATTAATACTGCTAGATGGAAAAACTGTAACAACTAGGAAGACAAGGAGTTTTTCTTCTGCTGTTGGGGCAAAAATATGAGCATTTTGGAGTTGATTCATAACCGGGCAATTCTGAGAACCAACAAATTAAATTGGTGTGGCCTTACCTTGTACATCTTGTCGCAGTATCTCCTGGAAGAGAGGGAAGAAGGCCCCCTCAAAGCTGGTGACTGCAGCAGGGTCGGCCTTACAGGTGATCCTGGTGGCCAGGCCCAGGGTCTCAAACAGGTAGTGGTTAAAGTGGGGTTTGCTGGGGTTCTGGAAACAGGAGGAAAGTTTCATAATTATCAAGCAAAGAATGGTATTTGGATACAACCTAATTGATCACTCAAAAACAGGATGAATTTCCTACAGCTCCTCCAAACAAAATATTGCTTGCTGTAAGGGTCTAAGAGCAGACAATCTTTTCAGTAAATTCAAATACATTTTTCTCTATTACAATTTATTTGACTTTTAAACTAAAAACGGTTCCCATTTGATTTCCCAAATAACTATTTATACAGAATAATAATGTTCACATTTACAGACACTGGGTAATGGACCATTCTTGTCATAATTCTATTATCCTCCTACTGACTTATCTCCAGTTTGCTGCTGGATAAGACAAGAGCAGGAAGAGGACTTTCCATGTCATCAGACCCACCTTAGAGACAGCAGCAAGCTTCTCTATCAGTTTGGGTAAGAGTGACTCTAGGAAACGTATGACAGACTCCTGCAGCAGGGAGAAGGTCCTGAGCACAGTCTTCATGACATACTCGTTCTCCTGGGACCCCGGCAGGGTGAAGGCGTTGAACAGGTTGGTGAGGAGGGGCACGGCCAGGGGCTCCACATCGGACTTCACGATACTGTGTGAGTCGGAAAGGTAATGTCAGATCAGCTTAAGAAACAGATACACCAATACTTTAGGCAAACAGGTTTTAAGTTAAAGAAAAAAATTCACTACCCTGAACAGAGACGGGGGTCGACACAAGTCATCTAGCACGTATGACCCGCTACTACGGTCACATGTCTCTGACGTCACGTACCAAGAGTAGACGGGTCCATTTGCTGAACAAGGTTGAAGGAGTCAGCCGAAAATCCAGTGTTGGAAGAAAAGTCTAGTCTTTATTTCATCATGACCAACACAGATGAACTTTCATGCTATACTACATGTTGTTGAAAACCTCAAAATTACTTTTAACATCAGGACATTCTACACCAGTATATCCTTGTACTGAAATGTATAAAATCTCTAGTTAAGCTACAACGTGAGAAAACCACACAAAGGACTCACACAGGCTTCCCGTTGACCTTGGTGGTGAAGAGCCTCTCCAGGCAGTGAGCTGCGTACGTGTGCACCACACCGCTCTCCGCACACAGGTGGCTCACCAGCAGCGGGAGGCAGGCCTTCAGGTGGTCATGGGACAGGTGTGTGCGGAATGTCGTCACGTACTTGATGGCATCTGCTCGCAGGACTGGATGCTCATTCACTGTAAACAATAAAAAAAAATTTTGGAGGATCTGTAAAGAAGTCTACTATGGAATGACAAGACTCATCCTCCAAGTCTTTTAATTACAAGTACAGCAACCAGTCACAACAATTTAGAATTGAAGTGTTTCAAAGTAGTTTTTTCCCTGCAAACTTTTGCAGAAATAACCGGTAGTAGAAGCTTCATTAGATACCAAGTAGAGTTAGACACAACTGGTTTAGCTGCTGTGATGAGTGGTATGGTGTAATATAATCAGCCACTTTGGCATGCAGTTATACATGTTGATTGTTCTAAATCTGCATTGCCTATGGTTGAAAAAATCCTAGTCAAACTGTCAAACTTCAGTAAGAATTTTAACTACTACTTTCTACCAATAACTCACCATTAGGAGCCTGCAGCTCTGTAGCAATGTGACTGGTGAAGAAGTCTGTCAGGTTGACCAGTTCAGAGGCCTGGGTACTGCCCAGTTTGGCTGTCTGTGCCTTGGAGGCAAGGGATGTCACCAGGTAGATAGCTGCATCCTTCTTTCTCCAGTTCTGGGCCGGGTTCTTGGCGTGTTCCTGAAAGGTTTCGTTTGAATGGGGTTCAAACTAGGTACATGTAACTGGCAATATCTTGATCACTTGTGGATCACTGGACAATTGCAAGAGTTTAATAAGAAAGAGTGCACATCTAGTGTTAAAAGCATTTCCTCATTCCTTGATGGTTGATTTGAAAATTTGATTTGAATGTAAAAATGCACACACCGTTAGCATGGCTACGACATAGGCTGAGAAGATCTGGGTGACTGGAGCTTCGAAGAACTTGCAGAGTCCGCGCACGAGGTCGCAGGCAGCGCGGCGCCGCGTGTCGATGTCCGAACCCTCCAGGTCACGCCGGATGTACTCCTCAGGGTCGTCCTCAAACAGCTCCTGGTCAGAGTCTGAGGACACAGTAGAGGTAGAGGTATGTCCAGTATTGGAGTCAAATGGCTTTAGTTAAGGTAGCAGAAGTTGTCTGAAGTTGTCCTAAGTTACGACCATTTCAGCAACGTGACCTAATGTGACTTCCGACACTGGCGGAGCAGGGTGGCAGGTGTCTGACTCCCGGATGACTCTCGGAAGTTGGATTGACATCATAATCTAACTTTGGACAACTTCTGCACCCTTGGGCAACTGTCCGACATTAGGTTTTAGGGAAAATAGCTGCACTCAAACCATTCTTCACATAGAACAATGATACTTAGACTTACCTCTGAACTCCATGTTAGGAATGATGACCTTCTCACAGATGGAGGACATGGTGGCAGGGTCCTCAAACAGGTGTTTGTAGTGTGGGCGCTCACACACCGAGGCCAGGAACCCGATGGCATTACTCACCAGCTGGGCAGGGGTTAACAACAGGTTTGGACTTAGCACTTGCAGCAATTATGGTTGGTTTTCCCCTGATGCCCACGATCATGATAATGATAATTCTGGCATACTCATTTTCACCTGAGCGAAGTGAGGAAAGTCGTGTAAACTGCCTTTCCCAAGGGCACAAGGTTGGAGACTTGGTAAGATTTAAACCCGGGACCTCTTGGTTCTGAACTGAATGCCGTTACACCACACAACCCAACCCCATGAATTATCATTATGTAAGTCACATCTAAAAACTATTATTTCTAACAAATGCTATCATCACACTCTGGCAAAATTTGTACTACATATACAGTAACTCATTGTCTTACAGAACGATCCAATTGTTACCATGGAGAGAGATTACTTTGGAAAGAAAAAGGATTAAACATTTAAAGAAAAAGGATAATCAGAAACAGACACAAACAAACAGATGGTGGGACATTATAGAGTATCTGAACGTTTTTGAATTATTAAAACATCCCATGCTCTACAGGGCTCGAAATACTAGCTGCATCTGCACTGCAGTGCACCAAAATTTGGAGCTGTGCACCCAATTTTTTTCTGTGGGTGCACCAGTGCACCTACCCCCAAAAATGAATTTTGAGCCCTGCTCTGGAACGGTTGCGCTCACCAGATCAAACTTGACCTGCTGCCCGGTGGTGATGAGGAGGTGCCAGATGGCGGTGACAAACTGTGGCAGGTACGGCTGGAACTCCTCGTCGTACTTCTGTGCGTACAGCGCAACGTTGTCACAGATCTGGGACTTGATCAGCTCCAAGGGACCCGCCTCTCCCTCATCCTGACAACATGAATGGTAGGAGAGGAACACAAATGTTAATGGGTTAAAAAACTTGTATTTTCCATGAACTACGTAGAGTGGAACTCGTTGCCACCAAGCACAGTTGGGGCATCATCACTAGAAAGCTTTAAACAACTCCAGGTGAAGAGATTGAGTGTAACAAGTCATTGGGTATGATGTAGCTAGCTGCCGCGTGCCAGCAAAGTTTTTGTGTTTTAATCCGAAGGGCGGTTATAACGGCTATACCAATACAGATACAGAAATGTTATGGATGTTGATCAACTTTTTCCACTATAAAGACATTTGATCCAATACAAAAATTTTATGTGAACCCTGCAATGTGCATAGTCGACTTCAGTGGTTAGTGACCTCTGTACGAAGAGGTTGCGAGTTCAAATCCCAGCTCATCGCTTACTCAGCTTACTCAGCTTACTGGAAAGAGTCACAGTCTAAGCTTGTGTATACAGTGAGGACCCCATATGGAGTACAGTACTTACATCTGTCATAAGCAGCTTGTTGTCCACCTGCAACAGGGTGTGGAAGCCTGTCATCCAGGTCTGCATGTTGTCTTCGAAGAACTCTGGCAGGTCCTATATCATAAAATGAAATTTCTGTGACAAATTGAAACTTCTTTGACTTAGATCAGAGGAAAGGCTCCTTGTACATGCAACTTGAATGCCATAAGATAGATGCAGCTGAAGCTAAGACTTGAGGTTTTAGAAATTAGATGGATCAGGAAAACCTTTTAAAATTCTTTTTCTAACATGTTGTCAGTTTCACAAATAAAGATAATCTTCCTCATAGATCTTCCAGACAGAAGAACAATCTACAACAACCATTTTGTACTTCATCCCATTCAAATATTCCATTTTTTTTTCTTTTAAAACAATAGGGAACAGTATTCCCCCAGCAGAGAGTTGTCCTTACCTGGAAGTTGAGGCTGTAAAAGATCTTGGCGATGAGTGTGAGGGAGCTGAAGATGACCTTTAGGTTGGCTGGGTCTGAGGCACATTTGTTGGCCAGGTCCATGGTGGCCTGCAGAGAGAAGATTTTATTCCAATATTAACCGAAGTTCTAGAATTACTGAGACAACATTTTACTCTAAAATGCAGTTCTAGTTTTGCAGCAATATCCAACAGAATACTTGTGTATGAGTTATAGTGTTTTCAAAAGGTCATATATTTGTATTTGTATTAGAATCGTGGATAGAAGGACATCTATTGACAGCTATCATTGGGTTGCTCTTACCTTGAATAGTTCCATCAAAGGGGCTGCAAAAGAGTCCAATACATACTTGATTTCTGTCCACAACTCATTGGACTTGAACTCATGTCGGTATCTGCAAAACAACAGAACATGAAACTTAATGGCATGACATACAAAACAGCAGCTATCTTCAACTAATCTTCGTATATAACATTTCTTCAACAATCTTGTTTATATCAATAATATTAATTAATTATCTCTGCTTCCTTAGTGAGTTTAAAGTTACCTTTTAAAGATGGAGTGAGCTGTGCGCAGTACCCCATTGATGACGTTGAACTCTGTACTAGTCTGGAACTTTGTTACCATCTCATTGACCAGGCCTGGCCACTTGGCGGGGAAATCTTCACGTCCAATGATGGTAATAGCATCACTCAGCTGGAAAGATGGACAAATGAACACAGATGCTTTCTCAATTTGTCTCCTCCTTATTCCTTAAATGTTCAAACACTGGTTGTAACATTAAATTACAGTACAGGCACCAACCTACAGTAGTTTTACTTTTCTCCTTACATTCTTCTCTGTATCTTCAGAAGCTATTCCAACTGCCGATACCTTCAAGTTCTGACATAACTTCAGGACACATTCTCAAACACACTCTCAACATTACCGTTCTCCTAGAGTATATTTACTGTAGATAAAGTACACAATCCCTGCCCAGACTTGTCATTGGCTTTACCCTGTCAGTACATATTATTCTCACCTGTCTCTGTATCTGTTCAGGCATCCGCAGCATCAGACCCACAATCTCTCTCTTCACCGTGTCACGATCGGGCTCAGACACCTTGTTAGGCTCATCCTCAACCTGGTAGAGGAACAACGTACAGGTGACCAGACTGCAACAGCAACCTTGATGGCATGTCGTCAAGGGGGTTGTAATAACCTTGAGCATTGTTAGAAACAACGGCATACATCTTACAAAATCACCTCTGAAGTCCATGTCACTGATGTAAGTGCAATGTAAATGACTTCCAATTTGGTTCTATAGCAATGGTACAAGATTTTTGATACACATTATCATGGACAAAAATATTTCTGTGCATTTGCTATATATTTCATGGACTGTAAAATTACTGATACTATTCGACACATTTCTGACAGATTTCATAGGCTGCAGAATTGATGTAAAACCTATTTGACCTGGCACAATTGTGCTGCACAGGATGAACAAATGGGAAATACTGTTTTTTTTAGTACAGTAATCAACTTCTGAGAAACAACTGACCAGAACCCCAGTATTACACATCACGGCTCTATCGGAATTTTTTTTAAACCATCCGTCAACCTTAACAGGCAAAATTAACAAAAATCTTGGGTAAAAATATGAAAACGTCTGAAGGACCACTGACAACCACTCTCAACACCATGGTGCTACCCTCCCCAAATTCGATGATGAACCTGGGCTGATGGAAAAAAATTTCAAGCTGGAGAGAGCCCTGTAACACATAAAGGTATATGCTCACAATTCTCCAGTTCCTCTTGACGTAGTTCTTGAACGTGATGGCAGAGGCCACCCGGATGGTCATGTCAGCCTCAGCACTCTCCACCAGGTGCAGCAGCAGGACAGGGTAGTTCTGGGTCCCCTCCACTGACTCCAGAAACTTCTCAGCTAGAATACAAAAGTTGATATCTCAGTAAAACAATGGAAGCTAATGAGCATGAAATTTTACGGCTCTCACTTTGTGCAGATGTTGGCCCATTAGTGCACCAAATCCGTAGTGTGTTTTTGGCACACATTTTGAAGAGGCTCTGTGGGCATCACTCCACTGTACAGGGAGGAAAGTTGAGTCAAGTGCCTTTCCCAAGGGCACAATGTCAGGCCACAGTATCTGACCCGGGACCTATTCCAGTTCCAAGTTTAATGATCTAACCATTGCGCCTTTGATGCCAGCTCAATGAGCATGAAACATGAAGATTTTACTGTACTAGTTGTTCAAGTCTACAGCTAAGCTTCCTATCAGTATTAAAGCTACAACATCGCATTATTTGACAATGATCACTTAATGAACTGCATAAACAGAAGGACACTGATGAATAGGGTGACATTTCGTGATCTATGTAAGCTGGAATAGAAGTTACTAGGCAGAAGATCGAGTAACGTTGGTTTACCTGCTCGCCGCTCTCCGACATCTGGAGAGAAGGTTTTCTGCAGGTGGCCTGCCAAGGCCTGCATGCTTGCTGGATCCATCCTGTAGTTGTGTACGAGAAAACATGTGGTAAGGCTTCTCACTTCAATATGGCATTAAGGTGCTTGTTTTTCTTCATTACCATTATCATAGTGTAAGGTACAGCTGTCTGACTTGTATGGAACAGCTAACTTGTTACAAAGTTGCATGTTGTTGTCACTGTAACTATAATTATACTTATACTTTGCAAAATTTGCTCTGCCTTCTTCTATTTCCTTCAACTTTATACAAATCAATGCTGCTAACAGATACATATTTGCAAATTGCATCTGGTGATATATGAACACAAGATTATCATCTTTACACCTGAATCATATCAATATATTCCGGTAACTTTATCATCATCATAATTTTTTTGCAAATCTACAAATTCTCATTTTTCACTGATTATTGAATGTCAGCTAACTTACCTGATCCTCGATTGCCTGGGTCACCTTAATATGCAATCTAAATTTGTATTTAGCCTGACCGAACCCGTGAGCTGCGAGAATTCACCTAAAAATTCACGTACACAACACATCACGTCATCGATGAATGAGCGTAAAACGGAAGCCCCCCTCCCCACGGCATGCATGTTCGCACAATCACACAAAACAGTGTCTAACGCTTGAAATATATGGTTCCGACAAGGATACATCGGTTCACAGCATCTAGAAAGCTACTAAGTTGTTAGGTGCCGTGTGTACGATAAAAGTATCACACTCACGCGGCTGTCAAACTGCTTTGCTGACTTCGGCTCAGTCCGTTTCAAAATGGCGCCCGTACACCACGCATGCGCCAAGGTCAGGCATGTACGGAGCATTTCATTTTGGTGGAAGGGGGTGTTTTAAATTGGCATGCAGTCATCGTGTATCAGAGTTCTATGATATAATGCATTGTACCATCAAATAAGACAATGCCATTATGTGGGTACGTCTTGATTCATGAAAATAATATTTTTCAGGAATCAGTAAGTGGCATGACCCAAATAGTGTGATGTAACAATAGTCAACTAATCATAAACTGTGTAAATTCGAAAACTAAAGATCGATGATTAAATTTCATCCCTGGCCATGCAGCACAAAATGGACAGCTTCACTCTTGTACCTCAGCCATACGTTTCTGGGTATTAAAATGTGATAAAATATAATAAAAAAACACGTCGTGATTGTTAGTCATAATAAAAAAATCATATTGTATGCCATTAAACATCATGCGTAATGACGCAACAGATATATTCGAGAACGCGAAAGAAGGCATGTGCGCAGATGAAACGTGGCTACCGCAATGGTATTCCAGAATGATGAAACACATTGTTTCTCGCTAACAAAAAAGACGTAAACCCGGCGACACTAACAGTTTCCGAACCGCAGAGAATCTTGGCCACTGAACGGCAAGGTAAATTTGTCTTTCACTTAGACGCATTTGCGTTGACCGAGTTTGGTGCATCTTGCTATTTCTAAATGATTGTAAAATCATATCTTCCTTTGCTCTACTAGTGTTGTTACCTTTAATGGTTTACGGCGCTGTTGGAAGTCAAAATCTATAGCAGCCAGGTCTGGTTGAATTCAAACTAGAAAAGAGAATGGCGTCAGGTGCGCAGTACGCACTAACGCACGAAACAAGTTCACCAACAAACTGTGTATGAAAATATTAAAAGCCCATGTTTATATCAAGTATAGACGTCGTTGTGTTTGGCAGCTGTCTGATTCTAAATTGATACATGCCTCCGCAGACGAAGCAGTTTTATACCGAGCTGGGCGTATATTTCTCAACACGTCTCTATTTATTTCCGAAAAAAATAGTTTCATAAGGTTGGTAAAGTATATGATACAGGAGTTTTCTCTTACAAAACCAATATTGTCTCACCTTGCTTAAGTTTCGGATAGACACCTTCATATCATGATCAGAGCTTCTGACTGGAGTCACTTATCGCCACGAAAGCACCACCTACATCGGCTATATATCTATAATGGCGAGCAGCAGAGCTCCAGTCAGAAGCTCTGAGAAAGATGTCTGATTTACACCGAAACGTAAGCAAGATGAGACAATCTTGGTTGTGTAAAAGAAAACTCCTGTTATGAACGTCTCCATTTTTCTGTATCTGTCTGTATCTGTATCTGCCAATATAACCGCCCTTCGGCGTAACACACTAGCTTTGCAGGCGCGCGGCGGCAGCTGGCTACATTACACCGAACGACTTGTTACACCTAACCCTTGAACATCTAACACTCAAAATTGTTTAAAGCTATCCAAATGATCGTTATTTAGATGGCGAGCCAGAGCATGCACCGCGACGCTCGGTCCGTGTCCTGCCAGGAGGTCACCGATGACTACGCGCGGCTGGAGGATCAGATGAACAATGACCACCTGCAGAAACTACAGCAGATATTTGAGGCAAGAGGAGGTCGTTTTCCCTCGATGTTCATGCCGGTGTCACTGTGTAGTGATGTACGGAGTGCCTGTATCTGTTTTCAATGCAGTGCACATATCACTAACATCGTCTTGGCCTTACTAGCTTAGTAGCGCTAGCTGGCACAAGCATCCTCCAACTTATTAAAATGGTTTGCTTGACGAAGTCCTCTAATTAAAGTTGATCATACGTTTCATTCTAATCCCTCAAGGAAGAGATGACAATATTGAAAAGGATCTTATCTCAGTTGAAAATGGCTTTATTTTGCTTGTTTTTAAATGCTAGAGATGCCAATTTTGTTTTTACTTCAATCACAACAAAAACCTACAATAGCAACGATGCCTCGCAATTTCAACTGTGGATTAATCCTTGCTGAATCATATCATCATCAAACATTTCAAATGAAATGCAAATCTGATCCGTACAGGAGGCGGACGATGACGGCGGAGGAGGGCTGGACCCGGACGAGTTCCGCCAGGCCATCAAGAGGACCATGGGAAACAAGACCGTGGACGATCACGAGCTGGAAATCCTCTTCATGAAGGTCGACACCAACTGTGATGGGACGGTGGACTGGGTAGGGGGCTGTACTTAAACCTGGCTGTTGTTGTTTAAGTCCTTGTTTAACGTCTATTGTACACGCTAGATGTAGTCTTCAGGTGCTAACCTGGCACAAAACAGAACTGTTGTAGGGTTGGACTATGGATCAAAACGTTGCCACATTGCCCTCTTGTGGAGCTGAGAGGAAGGCCAAAATGTGAAATCATTTATGGCTCTTTGTAATATGCGTCGTTGGAGTTGAAGATAACTACGAAATCGTGTTTCTCACCTTCTCCCAGGATGAATACCTGTCCTACATGCTTCTGGAATATCAGGAGAAGGACATAATGTCCACTACATTTCGCGAGGTGCCGTTCCCCATGCCGCTGCGGGGAATTCCCAGGTACAGTTGCCCAAAGAAAACTACAGCAGCCATTGTAGGAGCTACATATGAGAGTTCCTACAAACATGCACTGACACTGGAGCTTTATTCGTTCACTCATGATCATCAATCTGTTTTGATCCCGCAACACCAGCATTATATCGCAAGATCTGTTATATGATGCTTACCTGCGGTAGTGTCTGTAAACATGGACATCCATCCATCCCCGAGAAGTTGATCTTAGAACTTGTCTGTTGCTTTTGCTGACGAAGTCGTTGAACGGAAAGTTTGAAACAAGACGGCGTTAACTTGATTCGATGGTGGCATGTAACATAAAAGAATCACACTTTAGTTGGCATTTTCGGCGTTTGTATTTGCCTTCAGATGTACTCCATAATTCTTTTTTTTTTAATTCAGAAAAACAGTGATGAATACAAATGAAAGGACACAGACTAAGTTACTGCGAACTCAAGTTAGACACAACTTATATTCTCGCAGCCACTTTTGCAATGAAAAGTAAAGGTATTTTACAAGACGTAATTAAGAGGGCTGATTACTGTTATTCCTCTAGTTCTCATCGCGACACGATCAACTCGATCTCGTACTACCAGCTGCTGACGAACCGGCACGGTGTGATGGCCAACGACGCGGACAACCCCGGCGGCCGGTACATCACCATGAGTAAGGAAGGCGTCATCAACTTCTGGAACTCCGAGATGATCGCGCTGCAGCGGACCGTCACGGTGGGCACTTCGGTTTGAAGAAAGGCAGTGATCTATCGTAAAAAAGATATCTGTGCTGCCACGAACCATACACAACAGCCAACAATTTCCGTTCAAATGTTACAGAAAAATTTATTTTTCCGTGAGGTATAGAATAAGTTTTTTTGGCTAACATATCAACATGCAACATGCATGAAAATTCCAGGGCATGGTACCGGCCCTTGCAAATCGTATCGCCCGCACATGGGATTTTATTATTGCCATATGTTGATAATATTTCTGAAAAGTCGACATAGCTTCTCATTATACTTTCTAGACATGGCAGGCACGGGCTGGCCTAATGCGATAATTATTAGCTAAAGACTTTTTTCTGCCCGCACAGCTGGAGCAGCCGAGGGACAAGACGATGTCTCTGTGGCTGACGGACCTTGTTGCCATGGCAAATGTCAACATGGTGGCTATCTCGTCATCGGAACGTGAAATAAGTAAGTCAGGCTAGGAAAGTGCTGACCGAAGGAATGTAAATATTTGTGGCAAACATTAATGCTGGCATTTCATGAAAACTGCAGCTGCCATGATGCTGGCGAATAAAAGTTACATAAGAGAGGTTTAGTCGTGCCTGTTCATGATATTTCCAAATACTTTTCAAACAATATTCATGACAAAAGTAATATATTTTTTCAGGTTTCTATGATTGCTCAGCAACCAAGTTCGAACTGCAGTTCCAGGTCACAGCGTTGGACAAAGCTGTAATGACTATGGACTACTGGTACATCCTTACCGTTCTTTCTGGCCTATCGTTTCCTTTTTTCACCTGAGTATTCGCCTGAATCCAGGTCAGTCAGTACTCTTTCCCAGGGTAGTGAGACCGTCCATGTAGTATAATACAATTGGCAGTTCAGTATGAACGTTGTAGCCATAATGGTTCTGGTGGTGTTTCCATTCCACAGCCAGTCTGGTCTTGAAGAAAAAAAAAATCCGCGATATGAAATGTGTGCATTTATTTCCATTTTTTAGGTTTGACTACAATAACCTGAACAACTGCATGTTGCTGATGGGGGATGCTGGTGGGAACGTCTCTATAATTATCTTCTCTGAAGCCTGCAGTGCAGGACTGTTTGGAGACTCAGCTCTCACAGGCGGTAAGTAGCTGATGACTAAACAGAAATACATGTATAAAGGCATGCCTGGTGCTGTTCAGCTCCAGAAACAGTGCCATCCATATTTGTATAGCTAGTTGGGTTAGTTCAGCACCAAGGACAGTTCCGTGTTCCGTTCATCTATTCATGTTGAAAAATGATATAGATGGAAGGTTGATACGACAGGCGGTAAGTAGCTGATGACTAAACAGAAATAGAAAGGCATGCCTGGTGCTGTGAGACAGTGACATAGATATTTGTATGGCTGGTTGGGGTGTTTCAGCACCAAGGACAGGTCCATCTATCCATTCATTGCTGGTATTGAAAAATGATACTGACCTTGGTGCTGAAACAAGCCAACCAGCTAGCCAATTTAATGATGGATGGCTTTATTCCTGGTGCTGAACAGTATCATGTGATAATGTGATATGAAAGAAAGTATAATTGAATACTAGAACTTTTCTTAAACCGTTATACATTAATTGTAATGACTCTTCATGGAGTAGAATTTTCCCCCTTTATTCAGTTTCCAGTGTTTACTGGAAGGAAGAAAAACAATATAAATAGATAACAAAGGAGACATCTTTTGTCATCAGTCATTGTTCTCATTTCACAGGCTGCAAGCGGATCCCATTTGTGGCTCTGCAGCAGGGTGCTGTGAAGGGTGTGAAGGCAGTGCAACATCATGTAAGGAAAGAAAGTCTTATTCATAACTAGGCCTAGTTTCTTCTGTGTCTGCTCTACATCCACACACCTTATACATTACAGTTCAATCTATGGTTGAATTGAACTGGAATTTCATGACTCACGCTCACTCGAATTTCATGCCCAGAACCTTGCTTAAAATCAATTTGACTGTAGCACTGTTCCAAAAATATTTCCCTCACCATTAAAATGTTTTTACAAGTCTACCTTTCTTGTCTTGTCAGATATATACCATGCATGTAGTCTGTACTTGCCACCACTCTGTGTTGATTTAACTGTTAGTTACATAGAAGGGGGATTGTTTGCCATTTCAAATTGACTACATCACTAAAATATGCCTGTTAATCTGTATCTATCTTCCTTCCTCTCCCTGCCTGCCATCTCAGCTGCACAATGACTGGGTAAGGAGAGTGATGTACTGCAGTGAGTCTGGCTTTTTCCTCTCCTGTTCTGTGAACACTGAGACTGCACTGTTTGCCGGGGACATTAACCTGAAGAAAATGTATGTAAACCCCATTTAGGGAGTAAAAACAACTGATTTGATCCATGGAATTTGTTGATGTTCGTCCGTTGTTCTTCCTGATGACCAAGACATCACGTCACTTCAAACCTGAACATACAGTCTCAAAGCTGCAATGTGCTGATTGTGATAACTTTGCATGTTACAGGCATTCATTCTTCAAGATCAGGAAAGGAGTGTGCTCTGTGGACTTCTGTAGCATCAAAAACGTTATTGGTAAGTAGCAAACATCTTCATATTTCTATCTATTGTGGCATAATGTTTCCACACTGAAGTGTGGCAATATATAAGAATTTAATAGTCAGATGTTACAAGTAAAAAGAAACATTTGACTGATGAAGAGTGTTGGAATGACATCTGAAACGTCTGACTATTAAATTCTTATATCCAGTGGGAGTTTGAAACAGCATTTTATTGATTCAACCCTGGGTGACAATCTTCAGAAATACATAGACATAAAATTTAATATCTTTTCTTGAAGTTCGTTGATTGACACACGCTGTCCTTACTGCAGCGACTGGTGGCATGGACTGGACAGTACGTATCTGGAACCCTTACGTCACCACAAAGGCCACCACGGTGTTCCGTGGTCACAACTCAGCTGTGCTGCATGTCATGTGGACAGACCAGGGTCAGCATATCGTGTCTGTGGACAAGGGGAAGGTATGACATGGACCTGACACAAGTGGACACATTGGTTCTTTCATTTGTGTGCAGTAACTTTTTTAGACAGTCACAATAGGAGGAAGATGATCTCTTTCATTCGTGTTTCAGAAAATCCCTTGAATGCTATTATTTTAAGTATGCCATAAAGTTATATGGATGTTTCAGTAAGTAAGTAAGTACATTGGCACTATTGGTGAGCTTCCTGTGTTGGAGGACACTCAACCATTTGTTCACTCCACAGAACATGAAGGTGTGGGATGTGCGTGAGCACAACTGTGTGCAGAGCATCCCAGCCAGGAACGTCCCCATGGGCCACCACCCCATCAACGTGTCCTGCTACAGCAAGAAGACTGACTCCATCATCCTGGCCAACAACATGGTCAGTACAAGTCATCAAAAGTCAGACCTACAAAAACTGACACTGCATTTCTGTGTATGTACTAGTATGTAACAGCTACCATGGATACATGGATGGGTCTGCCCTTGGTGCTGAATTAAGCTGCCATAGAAGGGTGGATGGCACCAGCATCAGTCGTCATACATAGATGGATGAATGGTACTGTCCTTAGTGCTGAAGAGCCCTAGCTATGCATGGATGTATATATGTCTCTGTCCATGCTGCTGAACAGAGCATTACTGGAGTGTTGCTTTGGCAGAGAACTACATTGTACCTACAATGCCTCAAATATTCATACCTTTTCTCCACCCCAGCTTGCTGTGTTTGACCGTGTAAAGATAGAGGAAGACAAAGATGCCCTGGAGACCATGTCACATGAACAACCCATCTGCTCCATCCTCTACAATGATCTCTTTGATGTGGTAAGGGTTCTACATTTAGAAAGTTTGTCAAATTTCTCTCTAGATGGCAGAATTCTGTCTACATTTCTGTGTCAGTCCTTTGACATCATTCTCACTAACATGACTCCATCAATATATACACTGAAGGCACACAATCATTCTATCAAAGTGATGACAGAATTAATAAAATTGATCTGAGGTCCAATTATTTTTGTTAACGTTACAGCTGAATTTAAAATTGTTCTTGTTGTGAAAACCTGCTTGTGGTGACAGTGGTGTACCCTGTGCAGATAGTGAGTGTCAGCCATGATGACATGATCCATGTGTGGAACATTGACAATGGTGAGAAGGTCATCCAGTTCTCCATACACCATGGGAAAGAAGAAAACTGTCCTGAAATTACCGCAATGTGCTTCGACCCCACCAGTGAGTTCAGAATTTCACATACTTCCATTTCAGTTGCCCATTTCTTGTTTGTTTGACGGAAACAACATGCCTCCATTGTAACATCTTACAATTTCCAATTAATTTATGATATTGAATCAGCTTCCTCTTGATTTGCCAACTGAGAGCAGCCCCAAGAAAGGTTAAGATAAAACTCCCTCCTTTCACACGATGAATCTGAAGATATGGATAGATAAAGATAGATGAATATCTTGACAAATGACTGTCTCCTTAATCCAGAACGTCGTCTGATTACTGGGACAAAGACAGGCCAGGTCCAGATATGGAACTTCAACAATGGAGCCTTGTTAAAGGACTTTGATGACGTGGATACAGCCGAGGTACATGGGATAGAAATGTTTTCAGAAGGAAGGGCCAAAACTTTAACGTACGTGTCCATAATATCACCAGGGTCCATGATATCGCCACCTTGAGAAATAGTGTGCTTTAAGATATTTTTACTGCAACATACTTTTGGTATGCACTCCTGCACACCTCACATGTACATACCTAGGGTATGTTCTAGGGTATGTTGCAGTAAAAATATCTTAAAGCACACTATTTCTCAGGGTGGTGATATTATGGACCCTGGTGATATTATGGACACGGATGTTACTTCAAACTTTTGAAAAGTAGACAAAAAAGAAGACTAAATCTTTAACAGTATTACTGGTAAACTATGACTTTGAATATATTTTCAATACATTCCAAAATAGCCAAACTACAAGCATAAGGTGATCTGAATTACAAGTGTAAGGTTATTGAAGGTAAGTTTTTCTAATCCTGAAATGATTCTCATAATGTATGTTGATGAAATATGCATATGAGACTTTTTTCAACAGAAAGATTTAAAGATTTTGATACTATGCACAATCTTCTAAATAAATGCCTTCACTATCATCAGGTGAAAAGCATCATATGCTACAAGCAGCACATTGCAGTGTCAGGCTGGAACAGGAGGGTTGTCTGCCACCTGTAAGTCTGCTAATACATAATACATTGGTACTACCTAAAAGTCTATGTAACAAGACTGTTTTACTCCTGCTAATGGTTGATGGAATTCTGCAATTAAAAGGCAAAGGCGGGTATCAATGTTAGGAACAGACCAAAGCTAACAAGGAAAAACAAATAAATTTGAACATGATAATCATGCATCATATCTTGAAAGTTCACCTATGTTGGTAGATCCCTAATCATGCATCATGTACATTTCTATCATGCTGGTGAAGTGAGGTTGTATGGAACTATCCAATACTAATGGTGCTGTTGTGTTGTAGGGATGCCAAAGGAGATGAGGATGATGACACTAAGGTGTGGCCTGTGCGCCACGGAGAAGACATCTTGTGTTCCTCCTACTACAGTCCACTGTCCATTCTGGCAACAAGCTCATATGATGGGGTAAGTAACAGAAGAGGGTATTTACCTGTAGAATGCCTTTCAAGGATCAGTGGTGTTTAAAAGGTCTGACTTGTTTCATTATTATTACATTGATCATAGCAAGGACATTATACGGATAATGTATAATGTCCTTGATCATAGTCATAGTCAAGGGATCAGAGTCTATCCTGCATTCTCTGCTTCACAAGTTCCAAAGAGAAGTCCATGATGATAATTGATGATAATCAATTTTCTTAAAAGCATTTGAATAATCATTTTGATTTTGCTCTTTGACCCAAACACAGGACATCATCCTGTGGTCAGCAGACACTGGACATGTCCTGTGTCGACTGAACGCCTTCCACGGTGCCTTCCCCATGTCTCCTATCTGCTTCGGCATACAGGGGGAAACTTCACGTGAAAACCTGGTCAAAGGTGAGTTAGCATTACATTTTTTTTTACATACAGCACAATACTCAAGTCTTTAATGTTGGCTGTAGTCATTAGGCCTCAATAGAGGGTCCTCATATCCTTGCAGAGGAAACGCTTTTGTACAAATGGTTTGTAAAAACTTTTTCTATCATACACTACAGATACATGTAGATGCATATCTGCATGTGGTTTGAGACACAGGCTATGCTGCAAGGAAACCCGTGATCCATCTTGAATTAAAAACTGCATCAAATATGACTTGTCATTCCTTTCCTTTTGAATGACACAGTCTGGCATAGGCCCATCAAATCCAATGCAACTAGTCCTGGACCAGCTGACAGCCAGCAAGAGAAAGACCGGTCAAAAAGTGGTACACCAGAGAAGACCCAGCGTGACATGAGCTGTAGGGAAAAGCAGTCTGACCCAGATACTGCACAGGACCAGGAGATACAGAATCTCCCTGGCAAGTTTGATGCGAGAAAAGCCAGCATAGGTTGGGGAGGTATGATGGGGGACCAAGGTAGGATTTAATCTTAATATATTGACTTGGCTTTAGTGGTCAATTTCACCCTTCTTTTACATCACTCAATTTGAATGCATTCTCATGGTCATAGTTTTGACCTATGGTACTTATTCATAAGCCTTCTTTTCCTTCAATGACTGAAGCAAAAACGAATGAGAGCTCCCACTCTGTGGAACCGGTTGAGTACTATGAGGAGAGTTGCCGCAGGGTCAGTAAGTACACCGTGTCCGTGGACAAGATCGTTTTTCTGTCCACCCGGGAGAACAACAAGGACACGGCCATCCTGCTGGCCACCGGGGCGGACGGATGGGTCCGGGCCTGGTCCATTCACCACAAGGGGGGCATGCTGGGACAGTTCCGCGCCACCCAGCCAGGGGCCGGCATCCTCGCCATGGAAACGGACTCGAACAACGACATTCTGTTGACTGGAGATACAGCAGGGTATGTCAAGGTAAGGAAGAAGATCTGTGGCTTTAGTTGTAGCTTGGCTTTGTGCAAAAATCTCTGGTTGATAATACTAATCCATTCTATTGGTTCTTGGATTTTCTAACAATGAATGACAACTCATGATTTTACAAACATGTTTACCAGTATATGTATATCCTTTTTTTCAGGTGTGGGATATCCGCAGATACTGTATCAAGAATCCACCACCACCTGGTGATGCCAAGGACAAGGAAATCCAGAGCATTTTCCCATTTCTGAACTCAGATATCGCCTATGTGTACAGCCTCAAAATGCGTGCAATAGAAAGAAAGTGCAAAGGTGAGGAGTTATGTTTACTTCACTGTCATCAACGTTATGCTAGTATCATACGAAGGATCCAAAATTAAGTCCTGTGCTTTGTTGTTCTCAGTTTTCTCCCAGATTTGAAATTTTGGTTTTTGTTACGATTATTTAACCTATGAAACCAATGTATGGTACACAATTGAGCACTGATTATTATATTACATTTGTACTGTTATTTTGTTGTAGATTTGGGCTACCATTTGCCGGTTGATTTTGACGTCGATCAACGAGGGATGAACCTGACCGCTCCCCCCCTCCTGAACTCCTTCCGTGGCCACACCAAAGCAGTGGTGGAGATCCAGTACCTGGAGGACCGGAGACTGATCGCCACGGCAAGTTCAGACTGTACCATCCGTCTGTGGACTGCCTGTGGCAGGTACATAGGTGAGTCAGCAGGCTTCAGGTCTCATTCAAATGAGACAAGGTGATACTATCTCACTGGGTTGCACCTGCTTACACATTGTATATCCATCAAAATCTACATGCACTTGACTTGGATAAGATTTCATGCATCAAATCACCATTCGAAAATCCTGGACCTGGTGGTAGTAAAAAATAACCTAGGTGCCATCTTCCATAGTTTCTGCGGGCTCCCTAATGTTGCTGGCTATGTGGTAGCCAGTGACATTAGGGAGCCAACGGAAACTACGGAAGATGGCCTCAAGCCTAAGTAAAAAAAAAAAGCTTTGATACTTTTTTCTTTAGTGTCACATGACTTGTCATTTCCATTCCTAGGTACTTTTGGACAGAAGAACCCATGGACAAAGCTTGAGAAGGTGGTGCGTGCCAAGAGGCTGCCCAAGCAAACACCTATGGATATTGTCCGTGTGGGCTCTGCAACAACCATGAAAGTGCTAAATGGAGGGATACGTCCCAAGTGGAGGTGAGTCTGACTGTGGCATGTTTTTTACTTCTTCTATTCAGCTCTCAAATACATGTACATAAAGACTTTGTCCATTGCATTCTTAACCTGAAGTTTAAGATTGATTTATTCTTGCTGTCATACATTATTCTTGAAACACACAGTCTATGAAATTGGAACACAGCAGTGGCATCTCTGCAACCTAGAATGTGCTTGAAGCATTCTGTTGCAGAAGAATAGAAATAATGTAGATATTTCATCTGTTTTGCAGACTGGCTCGCAACATCTTGATGATGGTCGCAAGAGAGAAAATTCAGTGGAAGAGAAAAGTCGAACGTGGAGAAGTTTCAGCAGATGCAGAAATGGAAGAAGCACAGGCAGTCACACAGCACAAAGCCAACAAGGTTACCCTCACATTTCTGCCACATTTACATGTCAAGGAATTTTATATTTTGTAGGATTGACAGCCATAATCCAGTCCTAAGGATAGTGACTAGTACTTGTAGATAATAGAAACATTCCTATCTGTGAATAGTTTCATTAGGTTGGTAAGTCACCGACACTGAGTAAAGACATAGCAGCAACACCTGTGCTGCAGTGCAATGTGAACAAGTCAGAATCGCCCTGAAGAAGGTGACAGACGGTCACTGAAATGTCGGCTGTCAATAAAACACTTGGTCTCTTAACTCAGTAACATTCCTATCACAGCAATATAAAGTCATCACTTGCTCTGCAGGTCAGATTTGCAGATGTAGAAGAGATCCTGAAGATGGACATGGACCAGACACATTTACCACCAGTCCTACAGAAGACAAGCTCAGATCTACTTCAGGTACTGTTTAGCCAAATAAATTTAACTTTTACTTGTTTCCATGTTTGTGAAACTTCACTAGACAGAACTGCTGTCTATAACCAGCAATTTCATCTTCCTTAATTCCTACAGAAGCTGCCAACCCCTTCAAGTGACATCTTGCGTGGCGGCTACCGCCCCCAAACTCACCACCGCATGCCTCCCCACCTGCCCAAGCTCCGGCAGTTCCAGACACAGGTCAGTCTACACACGACAATGTTCTAGTACACAAGCATTCAAATCAAAACAAGCATTCTTTTTACATACATACATGTATGTACAAATATACTGTACTGTGTGGTTGATAAAATGAATATGTGATGTTATCATTGGATTGCATTCCCCAATTGTAGGCTCCACTTCTTTTTCTTTCTCATTTTTAGACGGTTATTTTACCTCCCCAACAGGTTGCAGTGTACTCATCCATCCCCTACAGCAAGTTACAGCCAGTTGCCCTGCCACGTACACCAGACATTGTGCGTGAAATCCATGCACGCCAACAGAAGGAACAGGAGCGGACCCCACTGGGTGTTGCCGCAGGGAAGGTCAATGACATCATTCGTGCCAACCGAGTCTTCCGCGCTCTGAGGCCAAGCAAAACGTCTAAGCCGAAGAAATCATCAAAATCAATGAATACTACCTAGATTACATATCATAATTCAACCATGTTGAAAATCGGGTTTGGTTCCAATCCAATGTATCTGCCAGTTTGGCATTTTCAAGTGGCTTTGTGAGGTCAAAAATTGTATCGAGACCATGTCATTATATATACATTGTACTGTACATTCTGTTGTATTAAAGCTGTTTGAACCTGAGACCTTTGCAGTGCAGATAGAGTATAGCAGGACCATCAGCTCTGTTTTACTACTCTCAGTCATGAGAAAGCAATGAAACAAGTGACGAGTTTAGATTAACAGATCGTCTTCACAAATGGTCAGATGACAAAAGTCAACACACTGACACAAAACACAGAGGCTAAGTTGTACAAAAGGACTATTTATTTAAAAGATGGAATGCATTCATTACATAGATCCTTCATAAATGTCCAATCTGACAATGCCATCTATGAATTGCCAAATAAAGTAAATGTATGAATCTGATGCTTTGATAAGTGAAACATGCTGTTGGTAAACAGACCCAAGGTAGATCTTAGTTTAAAAATGTAAATGTTGTAACCATGAAATTCTACTTTATTTTGTTGAAGTCAGCATTTTTCTAATTTGCTGTGGCCAGCAAACATTGTGTTGCTGAAGTCAGAAGAGCCTGAGCTGTAAGGTCTGGTGGGCAGCAGGTCTTGTGTGTGTGAAATCCGGGTGTTGACCAGTCAACTTCTCGTTCTGTGTGAGGTATTGGGGAGCCAGCCAATCATCTGTCTGTACAGCCATCAGCATCCATCCAATCAGCTGCCGGGATACATCATCATCTGTGGCCAGGAAAATTACAAATCTGAGCCAAAAGCTATATTTAGTTTATTTGCCCTAAGTAAGACAATGATACTAATGATACTGGTGCACAACAGCTCTTTAAAATCTAGGGGGCAATTAACTGGGCCTGTTACTCCTTGTATTATCCCTTTATTTTGTACACTTCGATTAAGTAAAAATGAAAATCAGGAAGGTCTTTGACAATACAACATGTAGTTTACAATGGAACATACAAAGGATTTTTAAGCACTCAAAATCAAATCAATGTAAACTAAAGACTATTGGTACTACCATTTTTCAAAGGCCAATGTAGTATATCAGAACGAATGAAGAAAAAAAGTACAAGTAGAAATTTGCTCACACTGTCACAGTACAAGTGAATGGCCCAAACTACTAGTACACATGTACAGGTAGCTTTGCCTCACTCCCCACACAACAAGTTTCACTTACCTTTGAAATTACAAATACACTCTACAGCAAGGACTTATCATCATTCCTCCCTCTTGGTCTTTGGGTTGTTGACTGCTACATAGTGGTATAAAACCACCAGCAGGAACAGGGACACCCCCATCATGTTGGCAAAGATAGCAAGCTGAACGTCTGAGATCATGCTGACTGAAAGCAAAGATCAACAAACAAGAAGATTTGGGGCTTGCCTTCTGACAGTTATGTACAGGGAATCTCCTTTCATGCACTCTCCGTTCAGTCATCTTTGGCTTTCGCCTTGGGGTTGTTGATGGAGATGTAGTGATAGAGCACTACCAGGAGGAACAGTGTGACGCCCAGCATGTTGGCGAAGATGGCCAGCTGCACATCGGACACCATGGTGCGACCTGTGGAGGTGAAGGTCAAGCCACATACAACCCTTTTTACTACAGGGAAGATTGGCAAACCACAACCACCACCACCATAGGTAAAGAGGAAATAGTATACCGGTAGTACCGAAATAATCTCCAAGCAGATGAATCGGTGAGGATTGTTTGCTTTTGCAGCCTTTTGCACACTTTCTTGGGGCTACCCTCCCACTCATCATCTGCTTGGAAATTATGTCATACAGGTACCAAGAAAAATTATCACCAAGGTTGAGACAGGACAGTAGAAGTGAGGATTAAGAGTTAAACTAGTACCTTTGTCTCATGTATAAGATGCAGACTATTGTTGGGTAACATAGTTACAGTTTTGGCATTTTCTCAGAGCAAGAACCAAATAATTCGCTACATAAATATTTACCTGGCCAAAATTTATACTAAATTTTGTGTCTTCAGCTATACAGGAAGGGGAGGGGCATTAAGCTGCCACTTAACTATCTAATACATGTATATCCATTCATTTTCACTTACACATGCTGCCTACTCCATCTAACCTTTGGCTTAAAGCTTGTGTTATAGGGTCCCTCTCATTTTTACGCCTAAAGACCTGCTACCACTATATTTGATGTATATGATACTGCAGAGACCCTCATGTTTTTATGCCAACGTGTCATATGTAAGAAGTGGTCACCCGACAAAGTTGAAGTTAGCTCGCAACCTTGGCAATTTTTACACACAGCAGAAGGCTCTAGGTTAAGAGAAGAAAGAGTATAGCTTCGCAGTGGAGAAATCCTTATCTTGCGCGCTTTGTATTACCTTTTTTTAGTGGTTTCTGAACCGGATCCTGTACCTGCAACACTCCGTGTCGTCAGCTGGCGTGGCAAAATGGCCGATGGCTGGAAGAGTCTAACGATTTTAGGGGAGTGGAAATAAGGCAGTAGCTGTAGATAGATCTAATTAAGAATAGCATGAATGTAGATATTACCTTCATTACTTATAGATAGTGAATTTTAAATAGTTATTTGGTTTTATCAAGTTTATACCCGACCGTAGACTTGACTATACTGTACTTTACTAAGGCTTTCCTCCTAAAGTCTGGTATAGTCTCGTCCAACGACCTTTGCACCTTGAAAGAGCGAAGCTTGGTGGTGGGTATTTTAGTCAAGATGAGCGCACAGGAGGGTCTTTTAAGTCCTAAAATGGGTAGAAAATAGTTAGTAAATGATGTTGTAAAGGAAGATTACATTTTACAACTACATGATTGCGATTTCTTGTAACTTTTCTGAAGTATCCAATCAGCATTCAAAGATTTGATCACATGACTTCAGCGGGAAACAAAGGCCTGTTGGGGAGTGGCGGGAGAAAGTCGTCTTTGTCTCCAAACTTTCCATTTACGCGAAACTTGAGGATATCTGGACGTGTTGCTATGGTTTCTTCAGTAAAGGAGGGATTTTTGTCGACACTTTCGTTCAGACTGAGCCAACGAGTCCCCGGAAACTGTTCTGAAGCTGTAGTTTTTCTGCAGTCTTTCTCCTAGAACTTTGTGACTTCCGGGTTTTCGTCAGAAACATTCCTGCACATGCTGGTCTGTCGTCTGCGGAGGACCGTTATCCGACATTTGGCCCAGATATTGTCGCCAGGACTCGGATTTTCGAACTATCGACTGTTTCTTCTGAAATTTAACACAGTTACCTATGTATACATGAGGATGGCACTTATGCGATGCGTGGTATTCTCACTTGAACAGGCCTTTCCTTACTCTTTTCGTGAAAATTCCTTTGTTTCGGAATTTGCTCCACAACAGTGGTCCAAGGAACAGTCGCCTGAGGTCGGCATGGAGGTGTTTTCTGTGCGAGTGTTTCCGAGATTTACTAGTATTCTGCAGGGATACACAAAGCAGGACGACTGAGGTAAGTTAGATGGGTTCTAGACATCGCTTTTGTTGCTATCTCTCTTGTGTGGCTGAACTGTTTTCCATGCCAAGGCCGCGACCTATTTCCTGACGATAACAACGTTCTTTGTCATTATAAACAACTTCTCGGCGAAATCAGCTCAACTACCACATGTCTACATATTCCTTTTCTTATTGTCCCCCTTTTGATATTTTGTAATTTGAAGGTTATTGAGTGTTCATTAGGAAAAGCAGTGATTGCAGACGTGTATTTCCTTTGTGTGATGATGCACGTGTAGCATGATGAGGAGGGACAAAGGGAGGAGACAGACCGGACCAGTGATGACTGACGGCAGAGATGGCGGACCGGGCGGACACTACAGGTAATAACCGGTTTTTATATCGCAAAATACTTCATGATAACATTTAAAAGCTTTACATTGTGATACAAGCAGTTGATAAATGATTTGCATGCATCATAGATGATATTAGACTCCTATTTTGATTGTCTCTTGTCTATTTTCCTTGTGGGTAATGGTATGATAGGGGGAAAATCCCATGATGTGTCTTTTGTCAGAAAATGTTCTTTATACTATAATAGGTTACCAACAATGCTAATATGAATTAGTACTACAGCAAGCAGTTAAGTATAACTAAAAGACGTGGTTTAAGTTTTGCTTCTAGTTGTACGTCCTTTGTTGATTATTTTTATTGTGCTGATAATAGGGAATTGAGATGCAAAGTCAGACTTGTCAGTATTTTCTTTGTCTCCATAGGAAACAGGTGTACACTCTGACTTTTGATAGCCTAGCCACACAGGTGTTTTAGCTTAAAACAAAATAACTATTTTTGGTTTTAGAATGCATATCAATAATTTGTGAATCGTATGCTTTGCATTATACATTTTTTACAGCTTCATATAGCATTGATAGCAGGTTTCGTGGCTGCATATAGACAATAAGAAAACAGTCCGTAATAAGCCATTAAAGTCTAACCAAGCAGCCTGCTATAGACTATGGGGGCTAGCTTCTTAACATTTAAGCTTTGGTTTAATCTGTAGGTATTAATAACGTAATCAGAAAAATAATTTGAGAACTAACATGCCGTTTACATCAATTCCATTTTTAAGTTAAAAAAAAACTTTTTTTCCTTTTTTAGATTAGGAAGGTAATACTAGTACTAGTACTATGGACCTGGTCAGTGTGGGGGAAAAGATTCTGTCATAAAACAAAATCTTCAAAAATTGCCATAACCAGAAGCAGAGAGAATTGTTACTCTGAGAAATGTATCTGATGATACATTTGAATGGTGCACACCCCAATTCTTCTTCAACCGGGGTCCACGGTAGTGCATGGTAAAAAAGTGACAGAAGAGTTCTGACTTAGTTTGTGGGCCGAAGTTTGAGTTCACGTTACTCATATTCTGCTGCAAACTGATATCACTTACTAATATGGCTGAAAAAGTCTAAGAAGTGGTGTTTTTTGGTGAAAATTGAGCCTTGCTTCCAGGTGTTGTCAAAACTGACGTGGACAGTAAACGAAAATTACAGTACATGTACTAGGATTTTAATAATGGACAGCAC